CAGGGTTGCTCCAGGCCAGCACCAGGCACAGCTCGTGGCGTTTCAGGGTTCCACCAGCTGCTGCTGAGGCTGGACGCAGATGGGGTGTGCTGTGATCTGATGCTAAGGCCAGACTTTACCTTAAACTTAATTTGCAGCCCAGCATAATCATAGAATCCCAGAGTGGTTCGGGTTAGAAAGGACCTTAAAGCTCATCCAGTTCCAACCCCCTGCCACGAGCAGGGACACCTTCCACTAGAGCAGGTTGCCCCAAGCCCCTGTGTCCAACCTGGCCTTGAACACTGCCAGGGATGGGGCAGCCACAGCTTCTCTGGGCACCCTGTGCCAGCGCCTCAGCACCCTCACAGGGAAGAGCTTCTGCCTCAGAGCTCATCTCAATCTCCCTTCTGGCAGGTTCAAGCCATTCCCCTTGTCCTGTCCCTCCAGGCCCTTGTCCAAAGCCCCTCTCCAGGTTTCCTGGAGCCCCTTTAGGCACTGGAGCTGCTCTAAGGTGTCCCCTTCAGGAGCCTTCTCTTCTCCAGCTGCCCCAGCCCAGCTCTCTCAGCCTGGCTCCAGAGCAGAGCTGCTCCAGCCCTCGCAGCATCTCTGTGGCCTCCTCTGGACTCACTCCAACAGCTCCACATCCCACAAGGATATTGTTGCCCCCAGAGCTGAACGCTGTACTCCAGGTGGGGTCAAAACATCCTGTTGTGATGGCACAACAGTTGAGGACCCTTAAAACAGAAGGGGCAAGTGAATTAAAAGTTGCAAGTAACCCTAGAATTGGTTTGTGCTGTCCCTGCTCCAGTGGAAGTTCCCCTCCTGTGGCCTGGTGCATCTCCTGTCAGCTCAGCTTGGTTACAGGAGTATCAGGGGGTCTATAAAGATCTCTATGTATGCCAGGTTGTAGGTGTCAGCATGGGTGTGTGGAGCATAAACCCTCATCAGGAACATGAGGTGAATATGGCCCTGGGGGGAGCACAGAACATGGTGGGACATTGGCAAGGGCAGCAGGAGTTTCACCAGCAGTTTGGTTGGCAAAGGAAAGGTGAAAATGGGGCTGTGACTGTTCCAGGGTGTTTTTCCCTCTGGTATCTATTGCTTTTATTTTATGGATATGTTTCTTAAATAGCTCCATGGGCATCTGTTCCCCACTGCGCAGGAATGGGGTTTAAAAGGCAAGAAGTAGCTGCCTGCACAGGACAGTGATGCAGAGATCTCCAGACCTCATGGTTGACTTGATGTCCTGAGGAGTGGAAGTTTTTGGTAACCTTGAACCCCAAACTCTTTAGGGCTGTATGAGGTGTTGCCACTGCCAGTAATAGTGGTGCAGCAGAGTGGAATGAGAGCCACGTTGTTCCCATCTCCTGCAATCACTGAAGTTCTTCATCGTGGAGGGATGTGAAGGTCTTCACTGGGATCACCAAGGTGTGCTGGCACGGGCCAGGAAACATCCCCAGCAGTGCTGCCTTGAGCTCCAGCCTGGTGTCCTAGCAAAGAAATCTGTTGCTGGAAAGCAGCTCCTTGGTTGTTCGGTGTGGGAAGGCTGGAAAGAAGGACTGCAGTGGGAAGGAGGGGTGGGAAGGAGACAGAGGCCTTCTGTGGTGAAAGAGGGTTCCTCTGACTTTGGGCATGGCCAACACGTTTGCATGGGTATAAATTACAGCAGCATTTAGCCCTTTAGAGGATCTGCTTGCAGTGGATTTTCCAGGCTGTGTGTATAATAGGGGACTGTATTGTGATGCTGTTTAGTACATGGATCTCTCAGTTTTTTCCCAGTGGAGCTTTTTGACCCATTTTTTAAGTCTCCTGATAGCAGGCTTGTGCTTTTTAGTCACCTTTTGCAGCCCCTCTCCCTTGGCATTTCTGGCTCACCAGTGTCAAAGCTGCTGCTCAGGAGAACTGACCAGCTCCTGAGCAAACGCCTTGGATAGAATTTAAGTTCATCCCTGTGGCTTTGTGCATTCAGCCACTTTGTTTGCTCAGTTGTGTTCTCTAGGAACCTCACGCCCTGCTCCTGGCGCAGTACCCAGTGGAAATGGATGATGGGAGGGTGTTTGGAAAGCCTTGAGCACACTGGTGACAGCGAGAGGACAACTGAACTTTCTGCTTTCACCTCAACCTTTGTCCATGGCGGGACAGAACCCGCATGGGCTGGAACAGCATGTAACCCCACTGAAACCAAGTCTGTTCAGCGTGCACAGGTGCTCTGTGTTTGCAGAGGGATTCTTTTTGATGTGTGGCTGGGAGGTGTTTTCAAGTGTGCCAAGAGGATCAAAACATTCCTAGATTGCTGCTTCAAAGTTTCTGTTGCTGCAGACAAGGTCACAGTGTTCAGTGTGCCTGAGTTGTTTCATTGCTGCTTTCAAGGTATTTTGGAGATGGGTAGCTCTGTCTCTCCTAGCATCTGGGTGCATGTTTTATCCTGGGCACTCAGCTCTTTCTGGCAGAGGTTTCAATGCTGGTTTGGTTGCTTCTATGTAGCGCTAAGTAATTGTGTGGTTTACAAATGGGTTGGTTTATAGCAGTGGTGGAAATCCCACTTCGGGTAATTTTGCTAGGCAGTGGTTTCACTAAAGCATCAGAAACCCTGAACCCTTTGTTTTTCCTTTCAAGATGTAAAATAACCCTTCCTTAAGGTGCTTGTTCCCCTGGAATTTGCTCATGCCTCAGCACTCCCAGCTAACACCTTGTTTTTCCTGAATACAATATTAATGAGTGCGTTCAGCTCATGCTAATTGCTTTATCCTCCAATATCTTTCTTCTCATATATCTTTTTGCCTCCAGTATCTTCTTTGCTCATACCCACCTGAATTCCAAGAGCTATTTGTGAGCAGGATTTTCCAGCTTTTCCATTTGATCAAGTTGCTTTTATACCCTTATTTTCAAATCCCTTTTTCCTACTGATTGAAGCTGTTGGAGCTTGGCTGGGACAAGTGCAGTTGGGGATCTGCACTCTGCCCATCAAGTGGCTGATTAGAGTTTTAAGGCAAAGGTCCTGACATTTGTGGTACCCACATGTGCACATGGAAATTGTCATCTTGTATTTTGGATCAGAAATGAAATTGGGCCCACAGGCTCCATCATTATGGTTGTGCCAGGACTGAAACTGGCACCTGTGGCTTATTTCTATGGATGCAAAGGAGAATTTGGAAACTTTCCCTAAAACATGTTTGTTTCTTAGGACAGATGTTGTGTTGTGGCTTTACCTTGAGGTTCAGAGAGCCAAAACTTTCAAGAGAAACGTGTTGCTTCTGGAATTTGGTACTACTCTCTGGAATAAGCTTCTGCAATAAGGGACTTCTTGTAGGTCCTGGTCCTGTGAGGCATTGCTTGCTCCGACTCACACATTTGAGAGTTTGTGGAGCTGTGTCCCTCACAGCAGAAATAATGCAATGACCAAGAACATACATTTGAGAGTTTGTGGAGCTGTGTCCCTCACGGCAGAAATAATGCAATGGCCAAGAACATCTTACGGGTTTGGAGTGTGTTTTCTTGTCTGCAGGTCCCACACAAAGGGGCTGAAAGTGTGGATTGCCTTAAATAAGGGTAAGGTGCTGGTTCAGGCCTCTGTGTAGCAACAGATAAGCTCTGGCCTCACTTATCATTTGCTTTTCTTTGTCTTCTCTCTCGTTTGTTTCAGCCTCAGCCCACTTCTTCCCAGAAGTCATGTTCCCATCCCTGATGCTGCCCTTCTCTCTTGCATTACTCTCTTGGCTTCCTCTCTGCTTTCCCTCTTTGCTGCCTCCCTCCTTTGCCCTCAGACCTCCAGGTCTCTGCTGCCATGTCCCCATCCTCCCCCAGATCATCTCATCCAGGCTCCAGGCTTCTGCTCTGCTCCCCCTTGATGGGCACCTCCTTAATGTTAAGGGCCAACTCTCAAATAATTATCTGGGTTGCTGATTAGCAGTTTGCAAGGGCAGAGCTGGCTTGGGCTTTTTGTTAAGGCTCAGGGCAAATACCCTTGCACAGTTCTGGTGTGGTCTAGAAGCTGTCTTGCTGCTTTCCTGCTCGTACCCCTGTGGATCCTCTGTGCAGAACTGGCTCAGCTGCCTGAACATGGATTGTGGCTCCAAAGGGGCTACTGCTGACCCAGAGCTAGTAAGTCCATCTGGATCCATGCTGCTTGGTCCCATGCTCATTCCCCCTTTGCTTCCTCAGAGATCCCCCTGAAGAGCAGAAGGGATCTCATCTAGCACCCGCTGCGTTGCTCATTTCATTCTCTGGTTTTGTTTGGGATTTTGTGGCCCATTTTGCTTGTTGGGAAGGGCACAGTCTCTTTAGAGCGTGGACTGAAGGGACCGAGTGTCTGGAGAGGGGTGTGAGGAACAGCTACATCTGTGAGAGAATGGGAAGGAAAGCTGAAGGATGATTTTGCACTACTTCTTGCATCCACAGTGTGGGAAGGGAAGAAGTGGTGGGCAACTTGGAGGAGCTCCATCCCAGCCTAAGGCAGCACTGCTAGTTTTCTCATATGGAGCTCCGTGACCAAAAGAGAATGGGAGTTGCTTTCATAGGACAGGAACAGTGGAAAACCTCCAGCACACTTTGTGTGCTACTAGGGCTATAAAGAAAAGCCACAGGCAAAAGAAAAGAGAACAACTCCTTGGCTTGTGTGAATTTAGTATATGAATGTGCAAGCACAGGTTGGGCAGAGAAGAGATTCAGAGCAGCCCTGTGGAGAAGGACTTGGGGGTGGTGGTTGATGAGAAGCTGAACATGACCCTGCTTCAGTGTGCGCTTGAGCCAGAAACCACCCATGTCCTGGGCTGCATCAAAAGCAGTGTGACCAGCAGGTCAAAGGAGGTGATCCTGCCCCTCTACTCAGCTCTCGTGAGACCTCACCTGCAGTATTGTGTACAGTTCTGGTGTCTTCAGCATAAAAAGGACATGGAGCTGTTGGAGCAAGTCCAGAGGAGGCCACGAGGATGATCAGGGGCTGGAGCAGCTCCTGTATGGAGACAGGCTGAGAACATTGGAGCTGTTCAGCCTGGAGAATGAGAAGCTGCGTGGAGACCTCAGAGCAGCTTCCAGTGTCTGAAGGGGACTACAAGGATGCTGGGGTGGGACTGTAGTGATAGGACAAGGGGTGATGGGTTCAAACTTAATCAGGGGAAGTTTAGATTAGATATAAGGAAGAAGTTCTTTACTGTGCGAGTGCTGAGGCGCTGGGATGGGTTGCCCAAGGAAGCTGTGAATGTTCCATCCCTGACAGTGTTCACGGCCAGGTTGGATGGAGTCTTGGGTGACATAGTTTAGTGTGTGGTGTCCCTGCCCATGGCAGGGGGGTTGGAACTGGATGATCTTAAGGTCCTTTCCAACCCAAACCATTCTATGATTCTATGAGAAGTACTGTTCAGGGATCTGAATGGTTTGCTGAGCTGAATGCACAGCAGTGTTTGGATGCTGCTGTAAAATCAATTTGAACTCTTCTCATCTGGTGGTATGGGGGTATATACATGTCCTGACATGCAAATAGGGAAGGTTGGAGGGTGCTCTGATTGATAGACGTTGCAAGAAATAGTTGGTATTTCTATTGCCTGCTTGTATCTAAGAAGATGTAAAGACTCAGCAAGGCTGAAATTGCTGGAGTCTCTAGTAGAGATGTCATTCTGTTGCAGCGCTGAATGAGTTTTTGGATCCATACTGCTCCTTGCTTGTCTCCCTGGCTTACTCTGTCCCCTGTCCTGTGTTGTTACAGGGTCTCTGGACTGCAGGGATGAGGAAGCCTCGGAGGAGGTGCCGGCAGAGTGTGGAGGGGAGGCGTTCGCCCTCACCCTACAGCCTTAAGTGCTCACCCACCCGGGAGACACTGACCTATGCTCAGGCCCAGCGGATCGTGGAGGTGGACATTGATGGGCGGCTTCATCGTATCAGCATCTACGATCCCTTAAAGATCATCACAGAGGATGAGCTGACTGCCCAGGACATCACAGAGTGCAACAGCAACAAGGAAAACAGTGAGCAGCCCCTTTTCCCTTCCAAATATAAGAAAACCCTTTCCAAAGGCAAGAAGAAGGAGTCCTGCTCCAAACATGCACCAGGGACATCTTTACACTTACCCCAGCCCAACTTCCGTGTGGTGGACTCCTTCAGCCAAGCAGAGGCTCCTCCTCTCCCTGCCGCCTACTACCGGTACATAGAGAAGCCTCCTGAGGACCTTGATGTAGAGGTGGAGTATGACATGGATGAGGAGGATCTGGCATGGCTGGAAATGGTCAACGAGAAGAGAAGGGATGATGGTTATGGCACAGTTTCTGCTGACACTTTTGAGCTGCTGGTGGATCGGTTGGAAAAGGAGTCATACCTGGAGAGCCGGAACAACGGGGCTCAGCAGTCCCTCATTGATGAGGATGCCTTCTGCTGTGTCTGCATGGACGATGAGTGTCACAACAGCAACGTCATCCTGTTCTGTGATATCTGCAACCTGGCTGTGCACCAGGAGTGTTACGGCGTGCCCTACATCCCTGAGGGGCAGTGGCTTTGCCGCTGCTGCTTACAGTCCCCTTCTCGCCCTGTGGATTGTGTCCTTTGCCCAAACAAAGGTGGAGCCTTCAAGCAGACCAGCGACGGCCGCTGGGCCCATGTGGTTTGTGCCATCTGGATCCCGGAGGTCTGCTTTGCAAACACTGTGTTCCTGGAGCCCATTGAAGGGATAAATAACATCCCCCCGGCTCGGTGGAAGCTCACATGCTATATCTGCAAGCAGAAGGGCATGGGAGCTGCTATCCAGTGCCACAAGATGAACTGTTATACTGCTTTCCATGTCACCTGTGCCCAGCGGGCTGGTCTCTTCATGAAGATTGAACCCATGAGGGAGACCAGCATCAATGGCACGACGTTCACCGTGCGCAAGACCGCCTATTGTGAGAGTCATTCCCCACCAGGGATGGTGAAAAAAGGGTCTCCAGCTGCTGGTGCTGAGGGGCAGGAGGCCTCTGTGGAGAAGGAGGCAGAGGGGGAAACCAATTCCAGCCCTCCCAAAGGGTCTCTGAAAAAGAACCAATTGAAATTGAAGCAGAAGATCAAGAAGGAGCTTGGTGATGTGACCAATGGGCACTCGTCTGTGCCCATGGTGACAGTCACACAAATTCCCTCTTATAGGTGAGTGTCTCAGGTTTAGGGAAGGAGGGAGACAGGGTCTGCTTTGACGACTTGATCCCTCTTGTTGACCTTGTGAACACTGAATCTACAGTCAAGACCCAGCAATAGCTGTGTTCAGAGGGTGCTCTGCAGAACCCTTCCTGGCCAGTGTTACTCCACATGAGTGTTGAGGGCACACTGTGGTTTCCCTGCTTTGCCATCACAAACTGCTGTGTAACAATCTGTGGAGGTCCCTAACTGAAAACACCTCCTTAGCATCTGGATTCACACAGATGGCTGTGAGGGTGTTTTTAAAACACTTCAGGCATTGCAGGTTGTCAGGCAGATAGAGGTCATCCTGCTATTAAGTTTTTAATCTCCTCATTTCGTAGTTTCTTAATTCCTCTTTTTATTACAGAGCATGTCAAACCTGTCAGTGTTGTAAGCAGCTTCGAATTTGGCTGTGTGGGGGGTTTTTCCCTCCCAGTTCTCTCATGAATAACTAGGTAGTGCTGCTAGTTTGGTGCCTTACAAAGTGTGGTGATGTGTTGCCAGTATTTTAACAGGTAAGCTTTGGAAAACTGCTGATAAGGCACCACATGTAATCTAATGAATGGTTCCAAAAGGTTAAAATAGGTGACACATGATTCTTGGACTCTTACCAAGTTAGTTTCTCAGATTCCAGCTTAATAACATCAGACTTAAACATCCCCCAGGAAAGTTCTTGATGCTAAAAGTAGTTTTGAAATGAGGGCTTGCAGCTGAATTTGTGATCGTGTACTTTGACTATGCTGTGGTGAGTGCTTGGTGAGAACCTCCAGCTGAGCTGCTACTAATATAGGGTATCCTGTGAAAAGTACACACATACCTCTTCATGGTGGGGAGGTTCCACATTGTACCAGTTGCATGTGTAGTTCAGAGTGTGCATTGACACACAAAGCTTCATTAGGAACTGTGGTGGCATCACCAAGGTCTATGGAGTCGTGGTTGCTTTCGGGTTGACTCCACGACACCTCTTGCTTCCTTCAGGCTCAACAAGATCTGCAGCGGCCTCTCCCTCCAGAGGAAGAACCAGTTCATGCAGAGGCTCCACAACTACTGGCTGCTGAAGCGCCAGGCGAGGAATGGGGTGCCCCTGATCCGGCGCCTGCACTCGCACCTCCAGTCCCAGAGGAACGCGGAGCAGGTACTGGTGCCCAGCTGGACCCACGTGGCAGGATGGAGAGCTTGCTTTCGGGGGGTGAATGTGCTTGATGCATGGCTGGGAAGGGGAAAGAGGGTGAAAGGATCAGAGGGTAACCTGATTTAAGTCTCTTTTGGTCTCCTCTTGGTATGCTCATGCCTGAAGAGCTGAGTTAGGGTATCAGTGGAATATCCATCATGCCACTAGAATTGGTGTTGCGGGGTCAGCAGATAAGAGTTTTTCCCCTGAGTCAGGAGACCCAGGACTGTGCAAGGTTGTGATGGGCCCTTGGTGGCATCATCTTTTAGATGAATCATAAAACCACATTCCTCACGTGTGATTAAAAATCCTCTCCTCAAGAAAAAGGGTGTTAGCTCCAGAGTACTGGCCAAGCTCCAGTTTGGGTCATTCTTCCTGCAGCTTCAATTTCTGACCCTCCCATGCACATTCATGTGGAAGTTCAGTCATATCCATCACGTCTGGACTCCTTTGATTCCTTCTCTGAGCTGGCATCCAGAATCACTCAGTCTTGATGCTGTTAAACAGCACCAAGTTTGGCTCAAGTCAGTGGTGAAGTCATGAAGCAATTGCACTTTACGCTCTAACGTAGTGTGTCAGTAGGTGCTGTGCATGTTGTGCACGTTGTACATTTTTACTGTAGTTGGAGGAATTCATAGGCTTTTGGTTTGCATGAAGACTGCTCTGGATGATTAATAAGAAAACCTATTTTCCACTCATCTGTCTGGAGCTTGGGGAAGTGCAGCATTTCCTTGGTGTATTTGGCAATTTACCGTAAGTAAGTTCTTAAAACCAAACGTCCTATAAATAGAACCTATCAAGACCTTGGGGAAACAGTTGTTCTCTCCTGGCAATCACGTGAAAGTGTGTGCACTTCAGGTACATCCTCAAACCCATTTAAAAAGCTACAGATTTAGGAAAGGATGGATGATTGCCACCGAACTGTGTCTTGGAAGGTATAGGCTCATCTCCCAGCGTTGGCTGTTCCTTTGTGTT